GTAAATATTTTTAATTTAAGACCATTTACAAATAGATTATATAAACACATATCGGAACATGATATGTCCGACGGGTTATAACGACATTAGATATGGCTTTTATGTCATGACAACTAATGGATGTTGTAATAAACCTTTGTTTCAAATGATTAAAACATTGCAATCGGCAATTTATATGCAAACAATATATATAATCGAATTTTTAATAAATTAACCAAATAATTAATTATTTTATAAGTCCGCATTTTTTATTATAGGTCAATGATCACAATTTTTATTATTTTCTCAAACATTAATTTTATACTTTTTAAACTTTGATAAATACGACTCATGACATAAAATATAAGTTTTAAAATATCATCAACGATAAAAAATAAATAAATATAATGTTTTGTATTCAATTTTAAACAATAAAATAATCATCAACTTAATTAACTCTGTTAATTGACTATCAGATTAACAAATTTTAAATTACCAAATAAAGAAATTCATAATACTTAAAATATTTGCATATACATATATACACTATATGGATGAATGATTATTATGATATATCAGAATTCTCTAAACATTTAAAGAAAAAACACTTGTGCCTAAAAATTGTCTTTACAAAACATTTATTTTCACATAGATAACAACCCGGTGTACCAATTGGAACATACAAAAGGTTTATATGGATATATCATAAATACCCCTCTAACCCTACTTCTAACAAAATATATAACTTAAAGGGTGGTGTCTGATTGGTTTTGAATTTGGTCTCCAAATATCAAAAATGTCTGGAGGTCCCAAATTTAAATTCAAATGAGGTGAGTCCGGGCTACCAGAAATCGGGTGATCGTCCTGTTATTAGTCATCTCGCATGATAAGTTGGATATCCAGGTTAAAAGAAAAACAAGAAAATTGAGTTATGATTGGTTAGAATTATTTAAATTTATATAGACACGAGTATGACAATATACGTTTTTTGGGTGGGTTGAAGTAAACATTTATCAATATCTAGATTTGGAGTAGATTTTTGAAGACATGACATGTGATTGTGGGGTTTCCTTAAAGCAACCACAACACTTTCAATTCTATACTTTCACCCTCTTTTTCCCCCCTTCCTTTCTCCTATGTTTTATTTTAACATTTTTTTTATTCATAAACATAATTTAATACTAAACGGTTAAAATAAAAATAAAAATAACACAAAATGGAAATTCTATTTTTAATCTTTAACGAAAATTTGAGCTTTTAAGAAAACGAATTCGATATATTATATAATATAAAATAATTTCTTTTATTTTAAATCTCATTAATTATAACTTAACATCTCTAAACAAACACATCCTATAATTAATTAATACTATATTTTTATAAAAGTAAAGTTTAAGTTGATCTAAATTCTAATAACCTTATAGCATTAAAAGCAATACAATATAATTAATCCTCAAGTTATTAAAACTATATTATATATATATATATATATATATATATATATGGCCAAGGTTTATAAAATTCTTTGCCGTTTAAACAACTAGTAGTGAAAAGTTATTAACAACGAACTATAAATAGTAATAATTCAATTCACAAATAAAATTGTCGAGATAGAAACTATATATTGCTCTTTTTTTTAATTAGTACTCAATTTATTTTACGTAATATCTTTAAAAATAACGAAATTTATGGTTCGATTCGATTAACGTGTTTTAATTTAATCATAGAAACAAAAATACTTAATATTGTTTACTTTTGGTCAAGCTTAAACCTATTGAATTTGTGTTAATTAGATACTTAACTCGTAAACATTAATATATGTATGTTTTTTTTCTAGGTAAACAAATTTTATCTCTAACAACAATTGACTGCCACAACTTATATTAATTAATTAAGGAATGTGACACCTATACATAGAATATAGAAATACCTCTTAATCTATACTACCTTATAAACAAAATTTATTAAAAGTCTTAAAAACAATTTTTAATACACAGAGTATTATACATTTATACACAAAGTCTTAAAAACAACTCATAATGCATTAAGTATTACTACTTTATGCATACAGTCTTAAAATCTCTTAATCTATGATTAAAATAATATATAGTACAAGTTAACAATGCACATTATTATCTTTTCTTTGCATGTTCCCAAGATATCTTTGACATCTTTCACTCATGTTTTCACTTTCTCATACATCTATGTCTTTTCCTTATCCCCCAAGGTGAGATTCAAAATGATATTCACTACAAGTTATTAAAAGTTCTCTCATTCATCTTCTATTCAATTTTGCTTTAAAACTCCCAGTCTCGCTCTCGATATCTTGATTCTTTGCTCTTCGTGTAAATCGAATACATTTGTGGAGTCGTTTAAATATGCTGGATTTTAAAATATATTGGATTTTAAACTGTTATACAATTTTTTTCATCGATGGACTGTAATTGGAAACCATAACTCTTATTTATTCAAATTGTATTAATATGTAAAGACCAGATGTAACTTATATCATCGTTAAATCTTCTCTAATAAAATCAATGAAACTTCAAAATCGTTAAAATTCACGGCTCCTGCAGCATTATGCAGGTACACACAACTAGTAGTTCTATTAAGAGGCGGCCTCTAAATCGCTAAGAGCTGAATCTTGTTTGGCAAAAAAAAAAAGTTTGTCTCTTAATGGTTCTAAAACCCTCTTAATAATTTTGTATCATGAGTCTCCCTTGACCATTCAGCATCCTAATTCCATTGTAAACAATTACTGCACAATTATATTTCATTTTACACTATATCATGAAAGTCTTTTAATCATTATGTACTAAATCATTCAGCAACTGTAAAACAACATATAATACTAAACATGCTGAAACTCTTTTCAAGACTACTTTATGCAACTCTTGGCCGGTCATAATTGATTTTTATATTGGAGACGGATTCACTCCTTCAATCCCTTCGATAATTAGTTTGCATTTTGAAACTCTAGCAACCCACAAATCCATACGTATGTTATGATGCTTATATATGGATAATTTCTCAAAAGGGTATTCGTTAGTTGTGAAAGTAAAATAACTTATATATATATATATATATATATATATATATATATATGAATGTTTATGTGTGTGTAGAGAGAGAGAGAGCGCATGTGTGTTTGTGTGAGGTTCAGGGGAAACCCCCCTCAAAAAATAAAAACTGAAGAAAATCTTAATAATCGTTTATCTATACGATATGCACATATACATATAAGTAATCTCTACAGTATGCATATGCGCATAAACTAAAAAACATATTCAATTACGTGTATGCGTATATACATAACATACAGACAAATAGTAATTTAGGTATTTCTCGGTTTTTATTTTCTTTTAACCTAATCATATATATGTATATACAAAATGTTGAATCAAATATATATGTTGTTCCTTCGTATATAAATGACTTGAGTATATAGTCAATCTTGTAAACCAAGTGTACAGGTAAATTCTTTTAAAGATTTCAGAAAGAAAAGGAAAAGAAACTTTTAATTGTAATTTTAGTTATTGCTTTTCATTTTAATTAATTTTTTTTGCTGCTTTTTACACTTTTATATATTTTTATTTTAAATTGTTAATTTATATATTTTTATTTTAAATTGTTAATTTATATATTTTTATTTTAAATTGTCAATATTATATATATATATATATATATATATACTAGGTTCGGACTCGCGTATTACACGGGTTAATGATAAAAATTAAGCGAAACTGATATGTATTTTATAAACAATTAATAATTGGAGGTAAGTTATAAACTTAAACAAAGGTACATGTGCGATTAATTTTTTGATATAAAGATGTTCTTACTCGAGAATTAAATGTTACATATACAAAGAACGGTTCATCCTTCGATGATCAGAAAAACTTCTAAATAGAGACGAACAATGTAGATTCAGTATGCAGCGCTGCGTAATACATGCAGATTCTTTTTATACCATTTTATAAACATTATATATATATATATATATATAGGTTGGTTATTATACAACCCTTGACATTTGTGCAACTTATACAACCCAATCTCAACCGTCCATTTCATTTGATGAATATGTGATTTCATAGAAATTTTGATTATTTCCAAATATAAAGTATTAATCATAATTAATGAACTATATTCATATTCCATAAATATTCAAATCATAATAAATGAACTCCCACCATTTCTATAAATATCTCAATTAATTGGGTTGCAAAGGTTGTACAAATGCACAAGGTTGTAAAAGAAATATACCTTATATATATATTTTAAATTGTTAATATTATATATATATATATATATATATATATTAAACAAGAACACTACCATTTTATAAACATGTTTCCTTTTTCTCTCTCTCTCTATATAGAGAGAGGGGTGTTCAAACAAAAACACTACCATCTTATAAACACGTGAGAACATATGGAACAATCAACCATCGCATGTGATACTATATGGAGACGAAATAGTGTGCAAGTGATTTGGCGTGCATGCAACCTAGGTCGTGACCAATGTCGCTCATGTCCATCGTGTGTGCATCGCTAGCTAGTTTATTACACATGTTAATTGTTTTCGTGCCGTTCTCGTTTGAACCTATATGCACATAACTTCAAACAGAACAAAGTTCAAATAAGAAAACACAAAAACATCTATATCATGTATGATTTTACTTCGAGCTCAAATGTGATATATACAAGTGTTTTTACATTTTCTTAATTTGACATAATTTTTGTTTGAACCGGAACTCTTATATATATATATATATGTATATATATATATATGTATATATATATATATATATCTATGTATATGTGGGAGCAATAAATACGAGACTTCATATATAAAATTGTATTAAAATATTAGGTTTGAATTTGTTATTTATAAATACCCTTCCACTTGCATATTCCTACAGTACTGTGCTATTCATAAAACCCTAATTCTTTTAACTACCATATTCTCTCAGCCTAATCCACTGTATCTTTGTGTTTGCACTACAACCCAAACATCAAATGGAGATGATGCCTATGATGATGGAGCTGGACGAGCTTCCTGAATCATTTCCTCTTCCTTTCCAAGATCTTTCTGATTCACCCCTCGTGGAATTTTCCAGCGAAAGCTCCACCAGCAACCACCCTACACTACCACTGCCACCTGTGATCTACCGCCACCCAGTACCCCCTGTTATTAATATGCCATCACCACAAATCAGGACGTTACACGACTTCCCACGAGGGGGCTGGTTTCAGCAGAAGCCAGACACGGTGGAGGCGATGAGGGAGATGATATTCCGGATGGCAGCGTTGCAGCCGGTACAGATAGACCCGGAGTCCGTTAAACCACCAAAACGACGGAACGTGAAGATATCCAAGGACCCACAGAGCGTGGCGGCGAGGCACCGGAGAGAGAGGATCAGCGAGAGGATCAGGATACTGCAGAGATTAGTTCCCGGAGGTACTAAGATGGACACTGCGTCCATGTTGGATGAGGCTGCTCATTACATGAAATTCTTGAAAAAGCAAGTGCAATCATTAGAACAAGCTGCAGCAGCCGGTGGTGGCGGTGGCGATTTGCCAACAAAAACACCACCACCACCGGGAGTCAATGCTGTTGGGTGCCGCACCACCGGCACTAACCACCATGCTATTAGTAATAATTTGATTAGAGCTTGTGGAACTGATCAAGCTTCTCCTATGATAGGTTCTATGGAGTTGCTTAGGTGATTAGTGGGGGGTAAGGTAGGGAAAGAGGGATCGAGCTAGAGAATATTGGATTGTAGTTTAGGTATTTGGGATTATGTTGTAAACAACCTCTAGTAATTATATTTGTATTGGAATTTGAATGAATTAAATATGCAGGGTGCACCAATTAATACAAGTTAACCGTATTATATGTACATAACTACGATAATTTGTGAGTTCTATTTATAATTATTTTCATAAATGAATGCAAATATACGTCTGAAAACTCAAATCAAAATCGAGAGATATATAAATCACAAATACAACCGCAAATAATATGTAAGTTTCAGCTACAATATCTGTGTCATGAGTTGTATATACGGTTAATAGTTAAGCACAATTACACTAAAAGAATGTGTGTGTATATATATATATATATATATAACCTCAAAATAACGATAGTTTTGGATTCAAACGAAAACGTGTTGCTCTTTCTCGAGATCTTCTTAAATAAAAGAATAGTATATAAATTAACATGGACAAATTGATATTGTTTAAAATAAAGTCTTGTTAATTAAGACATTATGTTTAAAAGTTGTTGATCACAGGAAATCAACTTAACCGTAACTAGTTGACGATAACAAATCAAGTGATAATTATGATGGCAGATAGATTTGCATGCATTAAGTAGCATTAGCAGGTGTACTAGAGTTAGGGGCCGTTTACTAAACGTTTACTCAGTAAGTACTTACCAGGTAATTTTTCTCATCGGATAAACTTGACAATGACCAAGAATCTTACCCGGTAAGAGCGATGATAAAAATGGAGAGTCTTATCCGGTAAGTGAGGGTGACGATTCTTACCCGGGTAAGCGCTTACTTGGTAAATTGTTTTATAGAATAAGTTTTGATATTCTACAATCTTACCCAATAAAAATAAATTATAGCATATAACTTAGTGTATAATATATAAGATATGAAATTAATGTGGAATTATTTTAGGGTAAACATAGAGATGAGTATCTTATAATTAATTTTCTGTTTTTGGGGGTAGTGAGGTGGGGTGAGGTAGGGCTTCCCTTTAACTTAAAGCTTGGTGGAAGAATGACATTGGTTATGCTTGTCTGTGCCAAATATTAATTCTTATATTCTTTTACTATTCTTTACAATATATATATATATATATATATATATATATATTATGATTATATTATTATTATTATTATATAGTACAACAACGAATTTAATTGTTAAGGTTCGTGACTAAAAGCAGTACTATATTATTAAAATAGAAGTTATTCCAAAATTAGAAAGAGTAAGTGACTAACCCCTCTATTTATAGTACATTTGCATCCTTTCGGTTAACCATATGGATAAATGGTGATGAAGTTTGGATGAAAATGGGAGATTCTCCTCAGAAAACTGAATATTTTAGTTGAAGACAAATGTGATGCAATCTAACTCAAAATCCCGATGGAACAATCTCGTACGAATTAAGATTAATATATTTTTGTGACAAAATGGTAGGCTCTTCGTTCGTGTTGCTTTGGACAGCAGGGGCATGGATTTGGACACTATCTCCTAGATGTGGAGAAGCGTCAGAGACGATCGACCACTACTTGATGACTTGTACACTTGTAAAATAGATTTGAAAAGGGTTCCGTCAATGGTGGAGAATCAACATTGATTTAAATTAGGAGACTTGATATTTGAACTTTTGTGTTTATCAAGGGGGCGATATCTCCTGATCTTGGCTAAAACAAATTTTGCAAGCCTTCATTTAGGCCACTTGCTTCCTAATTTGGAGTCATCGTAGTAACATAATCTTCAAAAAAGACATTCGTTCTACTGAACTTCAATTTGCTGAGATTCAAGTTAGGGTTTTCGAATGGGCATCAAGACGTCTTAAAAAAGGATCCATTTTGTAGGGAATGCGGATTGAAAATCCAATTCTAATTTCTCCCAACAAGATGAATGATTTGTAGTCTTCATGACAATTAACAACAATGTGCTTGTTTTTTTAGTGTAGGGTGGCCATCCTTTTAATTGGGTTGTTCGAGAACTAAAGTTACTTCTTTTAATTCTATTTTTTTCGAGGGTTTTTTTCCTTCTTTTTTGTTATGTTTCATTCTCCCTATTGCATCCCGTAATTCCTTCTTCTTGTATCTTGTTCTACCCTTTGATTTTATTTTTAATTTACGTTGATTTTCAAAAAAAAAATTGATTTCAAGCATATTAGAAATTTATTTTAAGCATTTTCTTCTAAACAAATGGCTTCTTTATTCAATAAATATATAAAGCTAATAAATGAAATTGAAAATGGTTCATAAATAATTAATAAGTTGGGTTTATTTATTTATTTTACATGAAATACCAATAGTTTATAAAACAAAAACGACGTAGCACACGCACTAAAATTTTAATTTATTTGTATTTGAAATAAATATTATGTGATATATATATATATATATGTTATGATAACATAAACAAATTTCTTATATTGATGCATGTGAAGCAATCTGAGTAATAAAAATCTCTAGAAATATCAAAGATATTACATACCGGATATATAATTATGTTACGTAATGATTGTTATTTTTGGAGGTAAAGAAATGATTGAAAGGTTGGCCAAGTGACATAAACAATATATATAGGAATGCATGCATATACAAAATTCTTCATATATAAAATGGATGTGTCATAGATCAGACAAATCTTTTTATCATTTCGTATAACAAATCAAAACCGTTAGAATTTAGGTTTACATCATCGGATATACAAACTTGTGGGGTGAACATTTCAAATTCTTGAATTTCACATTCAGATATTTAAAATAGTGATATATATAACATGATATTTTAACTTCTGATCGATCCAAATCTGAAAAACCAATATTGTACATGTAATCTGTTTTTTAATAATATATAAGTATGAGATTTCACGTCAAATAATATACAGGTAAAATGATCGTTATATGATAAGTAAGTGATAAATATTAATCAAATACCAAGTGGCTAATTAATAAGCCACATATACAAAATATATAAACATACTACGAATTTATAAAACTGTTTATATATATATAATTTTTTAAGTAATTTATTAAAGTGGTTGCGATCATGAAGAAAATATTATACTAATTAATGCTTTCTCATAAAAATTGTTGTCCTTTTCATTACAATTACTACATAGACACCAAACATTAAATTGGTCGAAGTTATTTTATTTGTCTCAATTAAATATGCTTTAAATATAAAATATAAAATATAAAATATAAAATAAAATTAATTAGTTCTTTTTATGTATTTATTGTGATCAGGTATTCGGTTATAAGGTTCGGAGTTATTTTTGAAAAGTATCGATTGATTCTGTGATTTCTACGTGAAAGATTAGTGTTATTCATCTCTTTGTCATTAAGGTGGGTTTTTTACAAACTTTTCTTATTTGGAAATTTGAAATCTGAACCGTAGGATTCCTTATGTGGGTTGATATAATATTGTTTTATTATGCTATAATCAGCATAAATATGAGTTTTATTATGTAATTATATCATTGTTGGAATAAGGGTGACATATCAAGAAAATGTGTATTTTGGTTATAAGGGGGCATATCAAGGAGTGGTGTTTATTGGGATAATGGTGACATATCAAGGATAAGTGTATATCAAGATAAGGGTGACAAAATCATGAGTTATAAAATCTGGGTTTTTGATCAATATTCATAATTACCGCATCCTTATGATGCGATGAAATGCAGTTATCGCACTAGCATGATGCGATGAGTGAGCAAGAATGCGACAAGTTGACTTATCGCACCTATATGATGCGACAAGTTGAGTTTATCGTATCAGTATGATGCGATGATGTTCTCGCTCCAGTGCGTTGAAAGGAGATGAGGTTGTCTCACTATATGATGCGAGAAAATTATACATTCATCTATGTGATCGATAAGTTTACTCAAAATGTGTTTAAGAGGTAATGTGATTGTTTGGATACAATATATGAGGTTTGTTATATCAAAATGATTATAATAATTATTATTATAAAGATGAGTTTATAAATGTGAATTGGTGATTATTCACTCAGGTCTAATCCTCATTTTGTATTTCAAAAATGTGTATTACAGGTCAGGCACAACTAAAGATTAAAGGGAATGAGAAATTGTGAAGTGTTATAATATGTTTGCATGAGGTATTGGGCTAACATATTCTTTTTTTGTAACTGAATACTTGTTAGGTATTCATGTGTTGTATCGAGATTTTGTAATATAGCTTTTGTAAAGAGATTGAGACCAAATGTGTAAATTATATTTCTTGATATATGAAAATATATGGTTACAATGCAAATGTGATCTTGATGTATTGCATTTATGAAATCAAATGTTAGAGTAAGTTATACCGGTGGTCCTTGTGGTTTGCTTAAATGTTAGATTTGATCCCTAAACTAAATTATATACATTGATGGTCCCTACAAGTTCCTAAAGTTATATAACAAATCTAAAATATTTTTAATGATGAACTTTTATAAAAAAGAATATGCGAATCACACTTAATTTTAGAGTGAATTATACTTTTTGTCCCTATAGTTTATTCAAAAACCGATTTGTTCTTCCTAATGGTTGCTAACTTACTGTGTTAACAAATATGATATGGAATATGTTGAAAATTTTACTTAATTCTAACATTATATTATATAATTAAAACAAATCACTAATATATTTTATCATATTAAAATAAACAATAACAAAAACAAATAATTTTCTTATTATTTGTGTTTAATGGACATCGCATTCCATATCATATTTGTTATATTATTATGAGTTTATCACATCTCATCATAATACGACCCTCGCATATTAGAAAAATCTAATGAATTTTCTAAAATTATCAATTTGTGTAATCAAATATGAATTTTATGAAATTTATCATATTAATTGAAAATTTATTACGGTTACATATAATATGAATAAAAAAAGTTTTTTAACCATAATTGTTTTTAATTTATAAAAATTAATAAATTATAATAAATAATTTTGTTAAAGTTTTATTATTTATTTAAATAAAGAAATATAACTTATAACAACAACAATACAAAAATAATCAATATGACTAATAATAATTCATAATAATCTATAAGAGTAGAGGATATAATTGGAAGAAAGTGAAAAAAAAAAATTCTATGTGGTTTATTAAGACACGGTTTCAAGTAACGCTCAAAAAACTAGTTACTGATATTCAAAAATGACTTTTTTTAATAAGATCAAAAAATAAATTGATTTATGGTAATAAAAAATTAGTTAAATAATGATCAATAGTTAAGTATTGTTATATGACGGATTTACGTAAACTAACGATCACTAATCAAACGTATGATCCAAAAGAGAGAGAGTAGTATGTTCAATTAAATTGAAAAGCCATTTGGGCCCAAATTTTATACATTATTTAGTAGTGATGGCTAAAAACCGGTTCCAATTCAAGTCGGGCCGGTCCTTACTCCCGGACCTCAACATATCCGGTGTAACTGGTCCCGGTTGAAAAAGGTGAGTTCAGTCAAGCTTTATTATAACCGGTTATGGGCTGCCGCTCCCTGTCATCAAAAAATAATATATTTTTTAATTTTTTTAATGATATATATTTTTAATATATTATAAAATTCATAATTGGTTCACTTAAATACACTTTAAAAATGCGTTTTACTATAATTAAAATTACATTGTCTTATAAAATATTGCGAGAAACCGAGAATTTGAACCTTTTTTTTTGCTCTTTTTGCGAATCGAGAACTTGGTATGTAAACCCCTCAACCAAGACACTTATATATAGTGTTTAGAAGGCAAAAAATACAAAAAAGGACAAAAAAACGGTGATAAACGGCTAGTTTTTTGGAAAATTACTACTACATTTTTTTTATTTAAAAAGTACATTTTTGAAAAATTAGCAGGGCCGGGCCAGGCCGATCCATAACCGGTACCTGTCCCACGCAACACCCCAAATCCATAACCGGTCCCAAATTTCAATCCTATAATCGGTCCTTATTGATCCCAGGCTGAGCCGGGTCGGTTTGGCCATCACTATTCAAAGAGTTGTTTATGTGTTTTTTTAATTAAGTCTTGTATGAATTAAGTTATTTGTCTGAATAAATTTATATGTCTAAACTCTTAAGGACAGGAGTTTAAGGGGGCATTTGGTTCGCAAGATTCTGATGGAATCTAAAGGAATTGAAATTATCAATTCCGTTAACCAAATTTCTTTCAGACGTTTGCTTTACCTATGGAATGGAATTAAATTCCACACATTTCATCATTAGTGGGTTTGGTTATTCAATCACAATCACAATTGAAATGATTCAATTCACAATTGAAATGATTCAATTCCATTTCATCCAATTTTCTATAAAAAAAAAATTATCTCCGTCTTCTCTACTTGATTTACCCAGTGCCATATGATCTCCATCTAAACCACCGTCGACCACCACCAATCTAAACTACCGTTCTAAACCATCGCCGACCACCACCATTATAAAAGGGGTATTTTGCTATTTATCGTTTATTCATCCTAATTCAAAAGTTACTTTCTACCAACAAAAGTGGCAGATTCCAAATCATTAACCAGATTCCATTCCAATTCATTCCAATCAAAAGCACGATCAAATCCCATTACAATTCCTGCAAAGTCAAGTTCGTTTGACAGATTCTATTTCAATAGAAAACATTTTGCAAACCGAACTCCCCGTAATGTGTTTGAGGGAGACAGAAAGTGTTGGATCATTTATGAGATATTTTTTGTATTAATTTTTTGGAGGTTGCTTAAAAGAACAAGTGAGGGGTACAAACTTATACCATATAACTATTTTGGTTTAATGACTTAATGATTAAGCCGTAAAGAAAACACTCATATATGGCTGAACAAATTAGCCGTCAAGACCATTAACTTGCAAGGAAATAGTCCCTGCATATCGTTTAAAGCAAATAACAAAAACCATTCCTAGACTATTGGTTACGAGACAATTTTAGTGCCTTAACTACAAAATGCTTATATAGTTGGTACCTTAACTTTCTAATATGCCACTACTCGCGAACTCACCAATCTCGCACCTCTTCTAGACGTTCCACATTTCTAACTTCTTTTAGAAAAAGTTTCTCTGCTCCTTGGGATTTACTCGGTTCCTTTGGTTATATATATATATATATATATATATATATATATATATATATATATATATATATATATTTGTTGTTGTTAGGTGGAATTCAATTTGGATGTTTCTTTTCAGCAATGGCTTATGTAGTAAATGTAGATTCACACAAAAACATTACATGTACCTTCTTTCCGTCTACATATTTACTCAACATCTGCCATTCAACTAAATTACTACTAATTAACCCAAAACTATTGCATCAACATTCTTCAAACTCCATTTGCATCATCAACCACAAACTCTACCATGCCTTCTCACTCATCTCTTCACTGCACACAAAATCAATACATATATTTCATAAACATCAAATCTACACTCTCAAAGTGGGAGGTGCGGGGTAAAACTCCCAAAAAAAATGAAAAACTGAGCAACACCCTAGTATTCATTCATTCATTTGGATGATACATACATGTACATATTTCATGCACATATGCATGTTATGCACAACCGGACAAATTGCTTATAATTTACTTATATGCACATGTGCATACTGTCCAGATGAACCATTACCAGAGTATTCCTCGGTTTTTCATTTTTTTTTTCCTTTGAACCTGAACCTACTATCAAAACAGTTTTCTACTTGAAAAATGTTTGCAAATAACTTCTCTTTTTTTGTTGACAACAACTTTAAAAGAAAACATGCCATGAATACATCAAAAACCAAATAAAGAGAACCAAGAAACAAGAATTCACCTGAATCAAGTTAAAGGATCAGGAGTGATCGGGACGAAAGCAGGAGATAAGAGAAATGTTTGCATATCGCTGCAAGGGCATGACTTTGCGGGAAGTCCCGGGAGCTTCACTCCTTGCCATCGTTTTTCTCATTTCTTGGGCTTTCATTTGCGCGAGTCTAAGCTTCTTCATGATTCTGTCCATCGATGCTGATTTCTTCTTTTCCAGTTTCATCTGTTAACGAAGTGATAGATATTTAAACCCAACTCAACCAAAACAAATCTCATCAAAACATTAAAACTGTTACAGAAGCGTTAGGAATATCGAAAAAAAAGACATTAGATTAAGATATGGTTAATTATCATGGCAAACACACCTCAAGTTTTCGAATTGATGCCTCTGCTTTTGCAGTCTGCAGGTTCTCCCAAGCAACGATCCTTGCTTCCTCTTTCTGGAGCCTGCAAAGGCATTGCAAGAGGAAAATCCATTATTCATGTAATTTTAGATATATGCACATATATAGATTCAAAACTCAGGTTCCCGCTTTCCCTTTTTATCGGTATCAAAAACGAACATCACCAAGTGAAACAATTCACTTTTACTTTCCAAGATGGCTTCCAGGAGTGACATTGTGATAAGACCAGAGGCTGCTCAAGACTCCCTCTCTCTCAATTATAATCTCGACAACTAGCTTTTCAAACAACAGCTAACTTATCAGCTAATTTGCTAACCATAGTTGAAATGTAGTACATGTTAGAGACATACTTTGACAATTCGGTTGCTCCTTCTGTGGGATTCCATGTCAAATCCAGGTTCTTGATCTCCGTTGGCCTATTCTTTTCTGTTCTCCTCGGGTGTCTTTTTGTTTGCTTTGTGATGGTGATTCCTTTGTCTACCTCGACATCCCTGACTTCCACTCTAGCAGAATGGTGGCTGCGAGGCTCCACTGATGACGGTATTGGTGGAGGAGAGGTGGACGGTGGCGGCCTTCTGTTTGGAGATGACCCTCGGCTGTCCACAGGGCTCATCTGGGTAGCCATATCTCGCCTTGAAATCACACGGGTAACACTGTTTTCATCAATCTTTTCATCTGCACATCAATTTATAACACATTCAACCAAAAATCCTATAAAAATACACCTACAAACTATTATAAGAACCACTAAAATCAAATAAACATAACTTGTAATCAAGAATCTAATCAAGAAACGATATCCACCAACAAGAAGTACGATATCAGAATGCATTCTATGAAATTATACCTTGAGAATCAGGATATGAAGACAAATTTGCAGATGGAGTGACTGTATAATCGGTGTGAGCATGGTGAAAAGATAACCCATTGGGCACCAAAACACCAGTTGAAAATGGCGAACCTGCAAGAAAACCGTTGGTTTCAAGAAACGGGAAAGCCGGTGAATGGTTCGAAAAATATGGAGTGTCCCCCAATGGTCCACTTTTTGATTTGGGTCGTCGTTGGGACGGTGGAGCTAGAGTCTTGCAAAACCCAGAACCAGAAACTGGACTCGTAATCCACCTTTCGGCATCATCCCATTTTGAAGGCAATGTTCTTCCATTCATCAATACATTCGAACTGGCACGCCGCCGGTTACTATTGCTCGGCAACGGTACCCTTTCCGAGCACCAACCCTTTTGAAAACCTCCTCCGCCACCGCCGCTGCAGCCATGGTTATCCTTGTAATCAGGAGTACCTGGGCTTGTGTATGCACCGGAATTACGAAACGAAGTTGAATCCTTATTCATGGATCTGAATTCTGGTGAATAACACACCCGCATTGCACTAAATCTGATTCTAATGAATTAGGGTTTGGAGATACAAATCAAGATTCAAATCTGCACCTTAAAATCGACCAGGGGTTAGATAAGAATTGTACTTATTACACCCACAAGAATTCACCAAACAAAACACTATAATCGATAAACCTGAATGCAACATCATGGGACATCTTACAAGTACGAAGGAGAAAGCTACAACAAATTGCAATTTGTAAAACCTTATTCCTTGTGGACCAGTGAAAGAGATACTTCCAAGTTCAGTACGAAATCAAAGAAACAAAAGATAATTTTCAAGAATTCGAGAAAGAAAGAAAGAAAAGGGTTTACCGAATCAATCAAGGAGATGAAGATGGAAATGGAGATGGAGATGGAGATGGAGATGAAGAAGATGACGATATTATTGGTTGATTGTAGTGTATCTGAATGGTCAGGTCTTGTCCCAGATGAAGCTAAAATTAGATTGTTACAGGGGTATGGTATTGGAGCCAAAAGCTGTCTGTTATCGATGGCAGAAATCCATGTGGTTCTGTCCCCATCGTTTTCCGACCTTCTTCCTTACTTCCAATTTCACAAAATCTATTCCATTCTTCCTACAAAAACCACAAATATGTTATTTGATTCATAATACATCAACATTTATTTAGTTTATATGTGGGGTTTCTCTTACATTTGATATCGTGGGTCATCCTAGGGGACATAATTAAAGATACTGTTGGTTTGATTTGAAGTACTGCTTTATATAAATTTGATAAAACCAACCACTTAGGTTTACAACCAAATGTTTACTTGAAATACAGAACCATTTTCTAACCAAACTGATTTATGAAATGTTTACTTGAAATACAAAATGATCGAGATATAACTGCTCTTGTTGATTTGCTGTAAGGTTGTTGTGATTACCAGTTGGATGACCGATTGTTTAGGTTGTAAAAATAATATTATATCATAATACAATATATCATTTGTTATGTGTAAAACAATCCACCATTCAATTTGTTTTATGTAATAATACAACGATTATGCATTTTGGAGATATATTTGATATGCCCAACAAACTATTAAAGACATGTCATTGAGCAAATGGTATGAATGTGGATATCTTGAATGCGACTTATTAGTCTTTCTTGAAAGGACAAAAAAATTTATTGTATGTCTAGAGAGAAAAATATATATCTTACTGTTATAATTCACATTTTGTTTATATTATTATTATAATTTTTTTACTGTAATCCGGTTCATAACTTATTATCCAGTAGTTGAGTTTCGTAATCCAATTCAACCTGTTTATTTTGCGATGTTTACTACATTTCTATTATGTATTAGGAGATTGTTTACTTGCTGTCAACAGTATTTTATCATGTAAGAGATTGTGTTTACCCTTCCTATGACCGACTCCAACCTCTAACTGAGTAAGAGATGTTGTAACGTACATTTGATTATAAAGAAGGGTTTTGGATCTGCGTAGTTTTTTGATAGGTGAAAAAAAAGGGGAAATAAGTGGGAAAAAAACCATGTCAAACATAGATATAAAATTTTAGGTCAATATATGAGGACAATAATTTTATAATTTTATAATATTATTATTTTTTGAATTAATACTAGAACTACCTTTTTATTGTATATACTATCAAGATTTAGAGACTGTTTGGTTCAAGTAAGAAATGAGAATTAAAATGAAAATAAAAATGAAAATGATAGAGAATGGATTTCATTCCTTCCAGTTTTAACTTGGATTGAAATGTTCGAATTTGTGGAGGAATTAACTCATTATATTATATAAAGTCAAACAGTTTGTTTTATAATTAATCTCATTAATGGCTACTTAATACCTCTAACCAAACAGTTTCTTTTATATTCAATCTAATTAATAACTCCTTTATATTCAATTTTGTTAATGATTGTTTAACAACTTTAATTAAACACACTTTAAACAGAGTTTAATATATTGGTTGCACGATAACTCAAAACATTGACCAAACCTCATAAACTACTTTCAGATGATCAACTTATTTATGTCAACATTTTGAAGATCGTACTATTTAATTTAAATATAATTACTAAAAGGTTTATATTAATGAGTAAACTACAATTTTGGTCCTTATGGTTTACACCTAACTGTGAAAATCGTCCCTAAACTACAATAAATACAATTATTGGTCATAGCAAAGCAGAAGATTGATAAGGAGGTTTTGTAATGGTTATAACAAGGGAGAAAAGGGATGAAATCACTTAACAATTGTAATTGGTACCTCTCACTCTAACTCCTCCATTTTCACCATTCAAGAAAATGGTGAAAATCGATTCCACGTTGATAAAGCCTCCACAAACTATGAAATTTGGTTCCAAAATGAAATCTAAAACCAAAATCAGTGATCTACTACTGAAAGTCGGTTACAAAATGAAATCAAAAACTTAGAATCGAAGAAACCTCGTAAAAAATGGAGGTTGCATCTCAAGGGGGGAGGAGGAGAGGTTTAGAACTCTTCACTAGAGTTCCTTGTGCAGTTTCGTCTTGATAATAACAACAAAAATTGTCCTTGTGATGATAGTTTCGTTTATATAATGGATCCCACACCATAATTTTTATATAATTTTTTAAACACATATAATTTATATTCTTATTTATAAAAATTTCTTTATTAAATTGTATAAAAGTATGTATACTAAAAAAACAAAAACTGGATTATTAAATATCTGGAAAAAAAATTGAATAAAAATACATCGAATATTTGGGACATTAATTTAAATATATAAAAAAATACAATTACTTTAGTTATATATTTATTTTACATATTTATTGATTTTATTTAAGTATGATTATTTTAATTATATTAATAAATAAAGTTGATTAAATATAAAGATTTTTTTTATGAAATTCTATAAAGTGAAAACTGATTAAATACGAAAAACCTCTAAAAAAGCAGGTCATGTAGTTACGACCTATGACGAAAAGCCTCACCAAAAACCTCCTATGAAAAAGTGGCCACTATGTTAAAAAAAAAAAAAAAAAAAAAAAAAAAACTCAGAGAAATTAGTTCAAATGACCATTTCTTTCGTCCAAATTAGTCTTCTAACCATTTTTTTCCCGGATTGACCCAAATGTTACCACTTCCGCAATATCCATTGTGGACCTAGCTAAAAAATAAAAAAGAATCCAAATTCAACCAGTTTATCATTGCAATTGCATATATGTGTTGAATTTGGACCGACTCCTGATCATCGTGTTAATAAACTACTATCTCATCAATTAGTTAGTTAGTTTTTATAAGTCCTTAATGATTAAGTCGGTAATAATGATTATGTACTGTAAAGTAATACACATTATTTTGAATCCAAATGATTTGTACGTATAAATATGTTGGTGGTTTATTCTAGTAAAAAATGTATTAATAAATTAATAAAAAAGCGGCGAATGCAAATACATATGCTATAATGCTCGGTTTTTTGTTCAAGGGATAGGCACCGACCGAAGCACATGTTCATCACTGGAGAAGCCAAACAAACCACACTATTTTTTTTTATTTTTTTTTTCTATTTTTTGTTTTTTTAGACATTGACCACCATAAAAAATATGAGTGTTGACTCTGTAATAAAATAATTAAAAAAGTATTTTAAATTATTTTTTAAAAGGCGTGCCGTTAAAGGATTGATACCAGGTTCTGCATTCGAAGGAATTATTGAGAAGAGCGATACTGTTTTGTCAAATATTTTTTAAAATGAATTAACACTTGGAATTTGGAAGTTTAAATTGCTATCCTAAAAAGGATTGAAAATATTTAGGGGGTGTTTCAGATTGTTTATTTGAAATAACTTATGTTTTTTATAAAAACATTTATCAATTTATTATAAGTTAAAAGAGTTTAACTTCTTCAAAAACTCATTATTACCAGTTTGGCACCGGTATAAGTTGTTTATCCAAACACTCAAAAGTGCTTATTATCGGTGTCACACCGAAATAAATCAATAAGTTGTTTTTATAATCTATCCCAAACACCTCCTTAATAAATTCTACTGAAAATTGTAAACGTAAAGGTTTGAGTAGACCTGTTAGGCATATTTTATAACCATTTCCTAAAATAAAATAATGTTTATATTTTTATTTTACTTTATTTTAAAATTAGTTTTGATTTTAAAAATAAAATTTTAATTTTCTGTTCTACCCTTCTTGTGTTGAGAAAAATTTCTATCTTTATTATTATTATTAATAGTAAATGTATCGTTTAATTAATTAAAATGTGTAAAGTTATGTAATTTAAAATTTTATTGTTATTATTAATAGATATTTATTTGAGAATGAATGAGTATTTAATAATTAAGATATTTTAAAAAATTTGAAAGTTACCCTTCCTTCTAGAAGAATGGTAACATGAGCATGTGTTGGATATTGGGGCGACATTAACGGAAACTCAATTTCCCACTGATTATTAAAAATTGATATTTATTAATAGTTTATAATCATATCAATTCTATTATTATTAAATCATGTAGCATAAACCATTAATCATGATTTAAATAAATAATTTTCTTTTAAATTGTTACTTCATCTATTTTCTTACATCAAACTTATCAGCAAGGTCATATAATCGAGATCATTGTTCAGAATCTTGTAACAATAATTTTTTAAGTATAGCCTTATGGCATAATACAGCCAACTTTAATGTGATATATTTAAGAAAACTAGCGTTAGTCCAAGTTTGACAGGTGTATTATGAGGGTCACAATTTTTCTGAGGGTTGAGCTTCTTGTAAAAAGAGGAATGTAAAACTACCCACCTAGTGGATCATTGTATGCCTGATTTACCTATCACATAATACTCTTGGAACGAGACAATATGGACAATCTAACCTTTTCGCATAACATTTGTAGAGAACTAAGTATAAACACTAATGCATTAAGAGTCATGACTTGTTAAATTTATTTTGACAAAAAGCATACCTCACATCATAAGTTATGCAACAAAAGGTGGAGTAAACTTCATGCCTATAAAAGACGTCAAATACGTTGGTTTTTTTAATTATTCTTTTGTTACAAAGTATATAAATTAATGTACTTAGCCATTTATATTCAAACATAAATTTTGAACTTTTCATTTTCTACCCAACTACGAAGCATCGCAAGTAAAGAACATATGCATATGTTTGTTAGATGATAACCTAGTAGGAGAAAATTTGGATAAAAAATTGATTACCGATAATTCTAACCAGCCTCACACAGAAACTGCTTTCAAAGACATCAATGTGATGGGACATTCTTTTGACTCACTCATCGGTTGAGGCAGGGGCTTAGGATCGAACCCATGACTTGTCTTTTATTTGGACAAAGCCGTCGAGCTCCACGCTCAAGACTTGTAATTGAGAAAATAAGATGAGACTTTTGTTTCTTTGGCAAAAGAATCCATGTAGAATGATGAAATTGAGGAAATGCATAATCCCTAGAAATTCAAGTTGGTTTGAGTTCTGAATCCAGCCACAAAAGTCGACTCATGTGGGTTTTCTTCGTTCCTTCTGGGTAAGACGATAGATAACACAAGCTGCGAGGAGATGAATCTATCTCAAACATAACTACAGATTTTGAAATAAAAATACCAAATATAATACGTACACCACATAAATATAGTCTGCCTACACAACAGACACCAGAACACAGAAACCCAAAAAAAGGTGGATGTCACAATCAAACCTCTGCTGCAACTTGCTATTATTATTAGTACTTGGACCGGCTTCTCACCCTGCAAATTTGGCTCCAATTACTTTTCCTTCACCCCTAAAACTGCTTCTTTTCATCAATCAGGAACATGGGTTTTACCTTGGAGACCGAGAGTGAGAGATGGAACGAGAGGACCGCACTGGCGATACAGAACGTGAGCGAGAACGGGACCGAGAATGATATCTTCGAGAGCTTCTGCCCCTACTTGGACTTCTACTGTGCCGGCTATATCGTCTGGATATAAACACCAATTTTTTACAAGTGTAAGTGGAAACCAACAAATATTCTTTTCAAAGTTGAAAGCTAATTCAAGAACACCAAATATTTATCTTGAAAATAACCCTTCTCTTTACAGAAAAAAGAAACCTCCGAAGCCGACTTTCCATTGGGCCAGTAAGTGATAGACAATAAAAAACGATGAACCATTTATCAAACTTGAGATCATGAATACATGATGAACAGCTTTGTAAAATGTAAGATACCACCTTGGGGGTGAACGACTGAAACTTCTGCTACGGCTTCGGTGCCTGTATCTACTTAGTCTGTTGGTTTCAGCCAGTTTCTCAAGCCTCTGGCGCTCTTGTTCTCGTTTTTTAGCCATTTCTGCAGCAGTATCTTTCTTGACTGTAAAAACAAGTGAACCATGAAGGCACAAGAGCATCAACAATCATCGCAAATTTAGTACAAGAAATAACAAAAGCGGTATCCTCTCAACGCACTAATTTGCAGCATCATATTTCTAGCACCACGTGATGGTAAATTTTACTTTCTTGATAACGAAATTGACACATAATAAAAGTATACTTTGCTTGTTTAGTTGCTTGCTCATAATCCGCTTAAGTCGCTCCTGAGGTGTTTCTTTTTTCTCTCCCTGTTGTTTTGCAAGACTTCCACTACCGGAAGGCTTATTTAACTTGGCTAGTCCTGATGAAGATCTGCCGAGAAAAAAAATGAGAATCTTAGGCACCAGATAATGCTTGCTGGCACTAAAAACTATAAACAATAGAACAAAACCAGCAAACTAAAGTACCCTGCTGATGGTTTTGACAATTTGGCATTTCTTTCACCATCAAGGGATACACCAGATGCAGGATCAATATGCAAGGCTTCAAGAATTTGACCAGATGATGGCCTGCAGAAAAGTAGAAGCATTAGGGGAAAGAAAGCCGTATGAGCGCCTAACCAGATAAGAGGCTATGACAAAAGGTCCATCCACGGAAAAAATGAACTCATAAAAGGAAGCTTCCTCTCTCTCTCTCTCTCTCTCTCTCCACATCTAAGCTGATGACCTAAGTCAGTATTATCCGAAAACACAATAGTTTTCCTCATGTAACAAGAGGATGATACACGGCAGCAGAGAAAGACTTGTGAATCTAGCTATGCAATAATTAGAACAGTGCTCCGACCGGTTCAATGCATCAACTTGGGATGGAGGAGATGATGGAGGAGTATATCCAGCAAGCTTGGGTCCACCACCGTCCGTCGAGCCCCCAAACTCCGTGATGTATTCTATTTTTGGAGCCCTAGGATTATTCCGCTGAGTATCATCAGAATGACCACGGCCATGACGCCTTGATTGTGAAGGGGAGTACGATCGTGATCTAGATCTGCAAGTCAAGGTGTTTACCCATTGTTGGAAGTCTCTATAAGTTGCTTTCTATACAACAAAAATTTCCCAGAAACTTACCTTCTAGAACGTGAATAAGCTTCATATGTTGGACTTCGTCTAGACTCCCTGCACACAATATTCATTGTTGGTTAAATGAACGACCATTATAAAATGTATGTTGACTCCATCATGTTGCATTAAAGTCCCTTTTGAAGAATAAAATTTTCTACTAGAGATTTTTGAAAAGGCATATATCGGAAGACTATGAGCATGTACCGGTAGGGATCATGATGAAGAACTCTACTTCCAGAGACCCGTGCTGATTCTCTCTCCCTCTCTCTTTCAATTTGAGAAGCCTTTCTTCTTTCTTTACGACTCAGCTTCCTCTGCATGATTCAAAATGAACAGGTTCAGTAAAAGTTGTATTTTAAATCTCCAGACTCACCAATCCAACGTATCGGCTGATAACATACAATTGCAGGATCTCCCTTCACCACTTCTTTTTGCCTCCTTTCCTCCTCCTTGGCCTTTTTATCCATATATACAAGCCACCCATACCTCTTCACTCCAAATTCCTTGGCAATTATATCCATTCCTTCATCGTTGCTATCATCACTGTTAAAATCCTCTTCATCTTCGTCATCATCTTCTTCTTCATCATCATCATCTGAGTCTTGATTTTCCTCTTTTACATCCCCATCATAAGAGAAGCCCACTTGTGAATATGAACCCCTATTTGCTGGGGCTTGGGTTGTTTGAGACCTGCCAAATATATAATAAAAATAAGTAAACTAAGACGTAGAAGTTCATAAAATAGCACTGCCTTCCAGGCATGTTGATAAAAAGCAAGACAAGACAATCCATTCAGTACTTTTTGAGACTCAAAGGAAGCATGGACTGATCATTAGTAGCCATAAGACACCACAAAGAAATAGAGTATTGATATTATATATGTAAGACTGGTGATACAACCGCTTCATATCTTGGGGAATAAGTCTTCAGACTAAGAAAACAATTATACCACACACTAGGATTCCTGTTTGTTGCATGTAAGTAACAACTGAGATGTAAAGCATGATATCACTCAAAATTCATTTAAAAAACTTCTACTGAAAAAATAAATTTTCTCGCATGTAATCCACACTAGAAATCCTTTGTTAGAGATTATTTGAACATGTAAGAATGCAGGCAAACCTGTCTAATCCAAATAAAGCAGCACTTTTAGCCTCCATCTCTTGATTAACATGCTGCAAACCTTCCTCGTCACTAACTGTTAATAGAGAACAGCAGCTTGTAAAACATGCATTGAAATAATACCACCTTATGGCAATGACTCAGAAAAGGTTGCCTGGTCATTCTTGCAGACTGCCTTGTCACTAACAGTAGATAGCTAAGGCGACAACAATTTTTAAAGTCAATAATTTAAAGCATGATCATCAAACCAAAAGAAGTACCGACATCCTCTACGTCGATGCTTAATTAAATCCCGGTAACGCTCAAAACTAACAAACTCTTCTAATTCTTCTTCTTCCTCTGTCTTCTCAATGACACGGAAACGTCTAGAATCAGGGTCTCTTATAAAATCGAGAAGAGCACGGCCATCAAATCTACAAAAAGCAAATTGAGAAACCAGCCAATAAGGTGGATGAACCTTCCCAAGCTGTTGAAATTTTAAGAAACGCAGGATGAGAAATCCAGTACCTGTCAATCATAATGTCCTGTTTCCCATTCCATGGGATCCTAATAAATAGCAGACACAAAAGGTCAAGATTTCAAGGTAAAAGAGAAGGTAGTTTTGCAGTGAAATTATAGAAAGGCAGAATCAGTTCAAAAAAAGAGAATAGTTCCAAGTCCAAGAATTGGAGTTCTCATATATGATATATGACCTAATATAAACACACACATCCACAATAAAAAGCAGTGCAAGTGTTACAACCAAATAACAAATATAAAAAAGGGGTGACCTGGGTTGCATTTCAGTAATCGTGCAATCTACAACTTATTGAGAGGTATAAACATGTTTGCTCTTTCCATCCATTAAAAAGGTCAAGAACATATGCAGTAGCTCAAAGTATGGTAGATCACAGTAAGCTAACCAATTGCCAGAATGACAATGGATCATTTGAATTAGGTCATCCTAACCCTCTATTTTCTACTATTTCTCCCCTCTTTTTCTACCACGAGATTCCTAGGGTTCTCGAATTGGAATTGCGAAACTAATTAGGGACACAGGCAAATCCGAGTGGAGGAGTTACAATTGTCAAGACATCTACCTAAGAAATAGGATTGCTGACATCAACCATTGAAAGAGAAATTATTACTTGCAGATAAACAAAATATGATGGATAGTTAATTAAGAGCTTAAGACAACCAAAAACTGACTTAAGGAGCCAAATAATTTACGACAACAAGTGAACATACAGGCCTTGCTGATCTTCGGTGGCTTGGTAGAGGCCATCATCACGGTACACACGGCAGCGAGAGCCTGAGACCTGGATGGATTGCTGTGGATCACCGCGTCGCTTGGCTAGATACACCGCCCGCCTCTGTGCCCTCTTCCGGGCGGCGTCCATCATGTCATGGACCTTCCTCTCCGACCGACGAGCTTCGTGCCACATCGTGTCTCCCTCTTGATCGGCTGATTCGATTTCAGATAGGCGTACACTGTAGATGAATGGAAACCTAATCCCTCTAAAGTTGCAAAGAAAAAGAAGAAAAAAGTTTATTTTCAAATAAGTCCCTGCCGAATCTACAATATTACAAAAATATCCCTAATTTTTGAGTATTCAATTAGATTAGAGGAAACTACATATTTTGGTTCAAAAAGTACATAGATGGTCCAAATTTCGTTATTGAATGAAACTCGCTAGCTGCCTTTGAAGTCAGGTACTTTCTCTTTCCTGCTAATAAGGAAAGGACCTCCTTCCTTTATTCGGAATTCATACTTCTTTGTGGGGCCCAGATCTCTACGAGTGAGCAGTTCAAACTTTTCTATCCATTTAACAATTTTATGTCAATCATATAAAGAGACATTTTCGTCAATTTATTCTTGTCGTTTATAAGTTTTTGTAAATACAGGTATTTAAAGCTTGAAATTTAAAAAAAAAAAAAAAACTAAACTAAAGATCACCCCCACCTCATTCCCATCTTCATCTTGGTGCCTCCCCTTAATGAACCTTGCTACAAAAGCAGCGATGGCATTTGGTTGATGCTATCAGCGCTTGGATCCCCTCATGTGAAGGGCACATGATTGATTTAACTAAGTTTTCATTAACGGTGTTAAGTGGGGGGACCAGTTTGGACTTTGAAACACAAACTTTTGATCACGACTGTATTTACAAAAATATAGGGATGAAAACCTGAAAAGAGTCATATGTGAGAGACTAAAAATATAATTCACTCATTTGATTATCTACTACATCATGTAGAGTTAATGACTCATTTGGGTAAATGATCTTAAATTAGTTTTTAATTAAATTCATGATCACCCGGCTATATAAGAAAAAAAAATGAGTTTATATTCATGAGAAAGTTACGGATTTAATTAAAATTTCATTTACGATAATATACCTAAAAATCTCACATCTCCATCATGTGTGTGCTCGCATACATTTTTCAAAACGTCTTAAATATATGAAAAATCATTTTAAAGATAATATCGAAGTTTGAACAAGATAATATTTTTCTTGAAGCAAATAAGATTAAAATAAACAAGATTCAAACGTAAAAGTTCGTGTAAGAAACATAAAAGAATAAGACGTCCATAAATAGTAGAGAAATACATGACTTAAACAAAAACAAAAATCGAAACAAAGAAACAAGCAGCATAAAAGGCTCAGCCCCTGCAATCCCAAATCATGAAGCAGAAGATGTCACAGAAAAGACAAGCAACACAGACAAGCCCAAAAAAGAAGAAAACAACACTAACGGAATGTGCATATATAGTTATTTTTGCAACATAAAAAACTAATATGACAGCTTATTTAAAAAATGTCATTAAAAAGCTGTTGGAACACCTAAAAACGTTTTATTAATTTAAACATTTTACATAACATAAAATTGTTTGGTCAATATAAAACAGTTTAATAAGACATATAGACGTATTTAATGTTTATAAACCCAATTTATTGTGTTTGGGAACCATGACTTGATGCATGTATTATAAATATGAAGTACATTAGATCGTAGAATTTATAAATTGAATTAAAAAATATATATGTATTTAATACATATATCGGGAGCAGGGAATACCATCCACTGTCAATGGCGGATCCAGAAACTTGGATGACTAGGCGTCCTAGGGGTATAAGAAAATCCGGAACCAAAAAGCTTACAGGAAGCAAAATGGTTTCGGGTTATTCATTTTGCGAGTTAACCGTTTGCTTAACCAAATAAGTTTCAGTTTTTTTTTTTTTTTTACCATATTGGTTAATCGAATAGCAAATTATATTATTATTTACTCTATAAAATTTCCGTATAGAGGAATTGGCTTGAGTATATATAGAATTATCATTAGGTGAATTGATTTATCTTTAAACTAAAAGAACGAGAAATTGAAATATATTTAACAAAATCATCAACCAATATTACCATTACAACACGATTGCAAAAACTAGCGGTAGAAAACAATCAATGCGTGAGGGTGTGATTGTCAAGCGAGGGAGTGGAGGTTTCGTCAAAACGGACTGAGCCACTGGGGAACTTTCATAAATGATTGAGGCAATTAAGGACATAAGAGTAAAAAATATACATCTTACCTAAATTACTTGAAAGATTAAGCTCCGAGTGGGGTCCTTCCCCCACAAACTTCAATGCAACTTTGCCACCCTGTGTTGCCGGATTATTAGAAACGTGGTTGTTTTCGACGCCGACCCCATCTTCGAACCCGATTAGTAAGAAATCCTCGGTTTTCAACATACACAAGTGAATTGGATACCTATGCGGGCTAGGGGAAGTCATCATCCATACCTACGCATAGTGAAGACGAGAAATTGACAAAAAAAAAGTCATTCAGCAAATACAATTTCAATTTTTCATCATTTTCTGATCCAAATTTATTTTAAACAATCCTCATGTAGAAGACTTACGTGCATGTGTAAGGATTGTAGAATGCTATCTAACAAAACATTGAATTGCAAAAACAATAAAAACACACACACACACACACATATATATATATACATGGCCGGAGGGCAGTTCCGCTGTATGTTCAGTGCGCAACCACCCATAAGAAATGGGGTCCATTTTTTTTCATATACACTACATAGTACATAGCAGTAGTTTAAAAAAAATTAAAACTAAAAAAGACACAAGTTTTTTTTTGTCTGTAATATGGTCTAAAAATAATTTAGTATTATACTAAGAATCCAAGCATGTTTAACTAATTATATTGGAGAAAAAAAATATGTAAAAGAATAATTGGTTGTTCATTTATAGTATTTTTTTATTGTTTTGTCTAAATAAATGTATTTACTATTAAAATGTAGAACTACTTTGCCCATAAAACATTGATATATTATCCATCATTCATCTCCCACCAACTCCTTTGATTATTCACTCCACATGAATTCTATTTTTGTGTTGGAATATAATAGATTCCTTGTTATTAACTAAGAAAAGTCCCACATTTTGAAAAAAAAGTATATCAACCATATGAGACGATCCAATAAATATAAATATATATATATAATTTCAAAACTACCCTTATGGTGAGTTTGGTTTGCAGAAATGGAATGGAATTGGGGGGATTTGGATTTAAAATCCATTCCAATCTTGTGTTTGGTTTGCCAAATTGTCAGGATTTGAAATCCCGGGATTTCTTTAAAATCCCTTGAACATGGGATTTGAAAATCCTTTGCAAAGGGGTGGGATTTAAAATCCAATCCTACGGGATTCCTATAATCGCTTCCTCCCGCTTCCCTCCCTGTCCCCTCACCCTCCTCCTCGCCAGTGCTCCCTTCCCGTCCATCGCGAAGCTTCAGCCCTAATCGGTCCTCCTCGCCGGTGCTCCCTTACCGTCCTTCGTGAAGCTTCAGCCCTAATCGGTCGTCCTCGTCGGTGCTCCCTTCCTGTCCCCTCGTGAAGTTGCCGCCCTAACCCGCCAGTAAACCCCTCGTCTTTGAATGATTTATATAACAGTAGATTGAAAATAGACTCCTTTATATAACAGTAGATTGAAACTGTTTATATAACAGTGGATCGAATAGGATGCAACTTTCTATTCAAATCCCTTTTGTGTATGTTTTGGCTTCTGTTCAAATCAACATAGGATGCGACTTTCTGTGTATGTTTTTTCATTCCCACCATGTTATCACAATCCAAATCCTACAAACCAAACATGATTTATAAAGGAATGGATTTCAAATCCAATCAAAATCCTGCAAACCAAACACAGGAATGGATTTTAAATCCAATCCAATCCAAATCCCTCCTGCAAATCCAAATCCCTCAGAAACATTCCTGCAAACCAAACGCACCCTTATTTTTTTATACATTATTGACTTCTTATTAACTAATATTAAATGCACACAATTTAAGTACTCACATATTTCTAAAATTGAAAACAATATCTCAAGCTATTACCAAAATTAGGCATGGGAATTGGCCTCAAAACGTCGAGAACCCGGTCTACAACCGGGACGGGGGATTCCCTGTTAAATCGTGTCTCGGGGATGGGGATGTAGATACCCATTTGGCTCAAACCGGAGATAGGTATCGCGGTCCCCCCCCCCCCCGGTACCTGTATATTAATTAATAGATTATATAATAATATATTATTATTATTTCTATTAAATCGATAAATGTTAATTTATATTTTATATATTCTGGATATTACTCGATATGTTTGGTACATGTGACGTTAATCTTTTAAATTTAATTTAATTTCTTTTGGATTTCGATTTATTGATTATTATATGATGATGCATATTTTTTGTATTAAATTAAATTTCCTTTGATTTTTGGTTCATTGGAAAAATGTGAGGTTTAAACATGTGCGGCATCTCACATATTTAATTTTAAAAAACTTACCCAAACAGAAAAAGAATCCCCGTTTTCTCGTTGGAGACGGGGATGGAGATGTGATCAAATTTTTCGGCAGGAACGAAGACGGGAATAGAAAGAATCACAATCGATCGATATATTTCTCAAGACTGGGGATCGGGGATTGGGGTCCCCCCAAAACGAACACACCTGCTACCTACTGTACTGGACCTTCGACCAGGCATTCTACCTTTGTCGGATCGGAACCAATAGCAAGGGGCGTTGAACGTAATTCATCCGCATCTGTGGGGGTATATGGGGGGAAGCCAAAGAACTGTCTTTTCTATATACTTTTCCAAATGTCCTTGACGCCAAAAAAAAGATCAACATTACTGTGTAACATGCTATGGTCTCAACGCCCTTACGAGGTAGTGATGAGTTTCACTCATTTGGGCAGCATCCACTAATTCGAAGCTTAATTTGAAAGCCATATTTCTGCCCCATCCCTGCCTAACCAAAATTGAATTTTGATTATAAGATTGGTGTTTTATAAAAAGTATGTTTTAACCCTAAAAAAGTTTAAAATTGTTATGAAAACAATAACATGATGTGACATGTAAACACAACTAATTTATGTAAAGTGCTACTCTGAATAGTCAACATTTGTGACCACAAAAATGATGTAAATCTATATACTAAAGATATATCATATAATATGTTTGATTGTGGAACGGATTACGATGTTATGTGAAAACGATATGTTAAATAATATTAATTTAAAAGTTATTATTGAATGATTTTACATATAGGAATACTTGGAAATACGTTTTTCTATGAATCATTAGTATTTTTTGAATTCACTATTTTTGATAATAAAAACAATAAATAGTTTTTTTCATATTCATCGAGGGAACTTTTTTCATATCTCGCCGAAGGCCTATAAAATGTCAATAACATGCTTGTATATAAATAGATAACATATACATGTAGGCAAGGTTAGTTTACAAACAAGTGAAATCTAACAAACCATACAAACAACATGGTTCATTGTTTAATTGAATAAAATTGTTTTATGAAAGTGTTTAATATAATGAAATTGTTTTCATATAATTTTTTTTGATGAAATTGTTTCATATATTTTGTTTCTTTGTGAAAATGAATTTGTATCATATACTTTTCACTTTGATGAAATTTATATCATCTATACTATATTATAAATCATTTGATAAAACTCTTAAAAATCATTTTTTATGCGTAAAATACTGTTTAATAATGCATATTACTTAAAACTCAAGATTGCAAGTAGATTGTGTGTAAGTACAACTTATTAAAGCTCCATATATGAATTCGTGTAACTAACTGCAGATAAACATAATCAAATACAGGATAAATATCTCATTTTAAATTTAAAAATCTAAAATATAATTAGGATAATCATTGAATTCTAACAGAATACTTAATTATTATCTTTATAAAATATTATATTATTAAATCAAAAATAAATTATTTTATTATTAAATTTAATATAAATTATAATAAAAAATTTAAAGAAATTACATCAAAAACAGAACTTTTAAATAGTTGATTTCATATTAACATTGATATTTTTTTTCCAAATCTATATTTTATTCAAAAATAAAATAATTATTGTTTTCTTATGAAAATGTTTAAAATTGCTTATTTAAAACAATTTATGTTTTTTAAAACAGCCCAAACACCCCCATAATAAAATAATTATTGTTTTCTTATGGGGGTCTTTTTGGGGGTGTTTTCTTATGTTTGGGATTGTTTTCTTGTGATTGGCTTCAAAAATCCAAGAGTCAATAAAAGTTACATTTAAAAAATAATGCATTTATACTACCTTATAAATCATAATTGTCAAAAGTCTTAAAAACAATTTTTAATGCACAAAGTATTATATATTTATACACAGTTTTAAAAGTTTTAAAAACAACTCATAATGCATTAAGTACTATCACTTTATGCATTTAGTTTTAAAATCTCTTAATCTACAATTAAAATAACATATTGTACAAGTTACTAAGGCACACTATTACTTTTTCTTTTTCATGTTCCAAAAATACTTTTGACACCTTTCACTTATGCTTTCACCATTTCATACATCTATGTCTTCTCCTCATCCCCAATGTGAGATTCAAATTGATATTCACCATTAGTGATTAAAAGTTCTCCAATTCAATTGTTCTAGAACTTCTGATCTCGCTTTTGATCTCTTGATTCTTTGTTTTTGGTGTAAATCGAACACATTAGTGGAGTCGTTTAAATATGTTGGATTTTAAATATATTGGATTTTAAACTGTCATACAATTTTTTTCATCGATAGACTGTAATTGGAACCATAACTCTTATTTATTCAAATTGTATTAATATGTAAAACCAAGTGTAACTTATACCATAGTTAAATCTTCTCTTATAAAACCAGTTAAACTTCAAAATCATTATAATTCACGATTCCCACCACATTGTAAGGAAACACAACTAATTTTATATTAAATTGTTCGAAAATATCTGAAACATTTATTTTGATTTAAAATATTTCATAAATGCTTAAATGTTTTTTAATGTGATTGGTGTCAATTTAATGCTCCACTTTTTCCGAGAAATGGAGTATGTTTCGGAGTAACGTCGTATTTAAAAAAAAAAATCATTCCAAGGAGTCAACAATTTCTATATAATTAATAACTTTTTATAATATCATATTATAAATTTTCTAGAAAACTTTGATCTATATCTTTTTTAATTTTAGGTCACGTTTGTTTTTAAAATATACTGAAATCTAAAATTTTATTTCTCTTTTAATTTATAAGAGATTGTGTTAAAATATGAAATCTGAATTAATAAGACTATTTGTTTTTTATAGACGTCTGAATTTGTTTAAATTGTCTATTTTATCTATTAAAAAATTACAGTGTTGAATTTATAAATAAGTTTATACAATTTCGCATATTTATTCATCATCATTACGAAATTTACATCTAAATCATATAATTAACATCCATTCAAATGAAAATATGATATGAACGGTATTTAACATATTTAAATTATATTAAAATACATCAATTTTGAGATGTGATAATGGATTTGTTAAGAATCGATTTAGAGAAATGATCGATTAAGGTTAATCGATTGAGAAATCTCGTTGTTGAGGGTTTGAAGAACAATAATAGACAAATAAAAGGTTGGTTTACTTCTTACCAGATAAGATGATAACAAGACATAAGTGCCTCTGAAAATTTGAAAAAATCAAACAATCTGAATGATCTTACCTCTTAACGAATCAAACATAAAAGAATGATAAAATTTTTTTAATAAAAAACAAACAAAACCTTAAAGATTATATATCAATTATATATTAAATTATTAATACTCCACCAAACTTTTAGAAATAATAATTTTCAAAATGAAATTTGTATTTTTTTTTTAAGTAAATTTAGAGATTTTTTAAAAATATTAGTAAGTTCTATTAATTTTTTCTTTGAAAATTTTATTAAGGGCATATTTCGTCCATGAAATAAAATAAGAATGATAAAGAATTAAAATAGGGATGAATTTTCATTCTTCAAGTGAGGGAATTAAAATTTAGGCTTCTAAAAAAAACAATCCATTATATTATGAAAAATCAAACAATTTCTAATTTCTTTTATTTTCATTCATCAAACACCCATTAAAAACATTCAAAAAATTAATTTTCTTCATTTAAAAATTGTCGGCCCTATCAAACGTCACCAAATGTATTCAACGTTAGGTGGGCCCTTTGAAAACTTGCGCACCACTCCTTTATATGCTCCAACTATGCAATTTGCATCTCACAATCGGAAATTTCGCCACCCAATTCAAACCCGCCAGGTTCCCCGCCCAACGGGGGTTGGGCGACCATGCCTCCGCCGTACCCCGCTGCAAACCCACCGTCTCCCTCTTCACAGCCTCCACTCTCCTCTCTCTACACACAGAAATCCTGGTCGCCTGACCTACACCGAGACGAGGAATGGATCAGGCGGAAGGGCAAACACGACCACCGCCGGAGCAAGAGCGTCACCGATGAGGATATCGATGAACTCAAGGCTTGTATTGAACTTGGCTTTGGCTTCGAACATTCTCCTAAATTGGATGATCGCCTTTCCAACACCTTACCGGCTTTAGGCTTATATCACGCCGTTAACAAGCAATATTTTGATACGATTTCCAAGTCGTCGTCAATGTCGTCGTCGTCTTCTTCGCTTGTATCTTCATACTCATACGCTGTTTCTGAGCCCGATTTATTTTCTCCAGTGAGCAGCCCCCACACCATATTCAGCCGAGGTAGTTCCTTTTTTCTCACGCTCCTATCACTCTGCATCTTAAAGCATCTAATTCAAAATTCGAAACTGGTGTTGATTTAATCCGATTTGACAAACTGATTTCACATGAATTCCTTCCAATCCACTAAGAAATTAAATTAACCTTTTCATCTAATCAATCATGCTTCTATTTGAATCACAATTTATGAAGCTATATCTTCCAGGATTTCATTTTACTACCTACTTGGTTCATTTAAACAGCTTTCAGTTGACTGTGGTGAAATTTATAAGAAATTGTTGTGTTTTATGATGAAGGCGATAATCCACAGACGGTGAAGGCGAGGTTAAGACAATGGGCACAAGTTGTTGCTTGTTCAGTGCTGCAATCATCATCATCATCGTCATCAAGCTGAACACAAGATCAACAACGTCCGAAACCAAGGATGAATCAGATCCAGGCCTGGTTAGATCACAAGTAATTCTAACCCAACCAACACATAGTTGAAAGAGTTAGATTGATCTAGATCTGATGATATAAACTTCTCTAATAGGGTTTGAATCTGCCTAAAGCATTACTTTGATGTTTGGTAATTCAAATTTGCTTTTGTAATCATGTTATGTGTTAGCTTTCGGTTGTCTTAATGCTTCATTTTAGCTTTTTTCTCGAGTGCAATCTGTCTTTTATTCATGGGATTTTTGGTGATTTCTTGTCCCCCCAACTTTATGTAAACGCGTTAAGTTTTGTTGATGATATATATATATATATATATATATATATATATATTTGCTTTGACACATGGATTTGGTGCATTTTGCTGTACTCTTCACCACTTTTGATTCAAATGTTTGTCGCATGTATGTGGAATTTACTCGTCTTCATTCTAATTTTACCTAAAATCAACATTAACACACGTGAACCTTGTAAGGTTACCTTAACTATCAATAAAACTTAAGTTTTTGAGGATTCTACTCAGAGATCAACATTTCGAGTCTTGTAAGGTCATTGGGGATTTTCCCGGCTGGTCTTTAGGCCTCCTGAAATTAGTCGATGTACACACAAGTTTTCATTACTATTTTGGATAACCGTGAATCAAAACCTTTATTTTGAAAAAGCATGATCTAGAATTTTGAATCTAAATGAAACCAACTTTAATTTTAATATTAGATTCCTATTTTGAGGATTCAAAATAAAAACAAACTTGGTTCCATTTCATACATTTTACCGTGGTAGAATATGTCAATATTCTTATAGCATTCATAGTATTTGGCGATCTTCGAGTTCTCCTAGCCACCTTCGTTCTCCCACATCTCATTCTTATGAATTATGGAACGAAGGGCCCTCTCCATAACTTCAATTTCATTTATAACAACAATCTAAACTTGGCCCGTACTATTACTCTCTGCTTCTCGTGGCTTACGACATCAGCATATGAACCCCACTCGACCCGTTGCTCCTTCATTTTCAACCATCTTCTAAATTCTTACTCATTGTCGTTCTAAAATTTTGATCATTAGTCAAACATTTCATTGTTGTACATGTCAAGAAGTTCAAAGCGAGAAAGTTTGATTTGGCAAAATAATCTTTTTAGTTAATTATTTATCATATATATCTTAATATAAGTAATAAAATAAATGAAACCCATGGTCTAAAAAAATAAATATTATGTTTGTTGAAACAACATAAATAACATTTATGATTATTATAAAACATTTGTTTATTCGTCAATAATACACATTGATGTGTCATTTTTTTAAATAAAATATCTTGAAAAGAATAAAAACTATTTAAGATATAGTTTATTGTTTACAAATAGAAATTGTTAATGTTGTATCGTACATTATCGGTAATCTTTTATTTGATTAATATTATATTATTAAGGTAATAAATGTTGATATGGCGTATTTTTTCTTAATTAAGGAATTAGGGAAAGTTGTTAGATTACAAATACGTGTGATTTCATATAATAAATGGTATATTAATTATATATAGCATGGACGGTTATAGAATAAATACTATATCATTAGAAGAATAATTGTTTGTGTACGTTTTGTATCTCCTCTTAAATAAAACATTTCCTCGTAATTTTTAAATAAAATTATTAGATCACAATATATATGTTATCATATGATATAAAGTATTACATAAAAGATAATATTAATATATTCTTATAGTATAACAAAAGCTTAAGGAAGCTTCTAGAATTATAAAACGAGGACCTGTTCAAATTCTTATAGTCAATTTTCTGTTTGTATTTGTTTATTGAAGGTGGAAGTCATGTATTTCTAGAAGACTTTTGTATGTGTGGACAAAGAAAGTAGACCTTGGAGTCCTACTAATCCATGTATCAAGTGCAAGATTACGTTCAAATTTGGCAATTTCTTTTATGTTCTTATATTTTATATAAATGTTTTTTATAGGTGATTTTATATTATTTAGCTAGTTAGTTTTTAGTACCCTTCTAGTAATGTATATAAACAAATTGTGAACATGATCAAGCCACGTAGAAAGAAAACATCGTATGTTCATATATGAACACATAAACCCCATACTATGAACACCGGATGCAATTACTTACACAATTTGACCTATACAAACACGAGGGGCAAGAACGGTGCTTATATAAAAATTTGAGAGCAAATTTTTAACCGACTACGCGGTAAGTTGACATAAACATATATGAACATCAAGTGAGATCACTAACAGAAACCGGTATTCATATGATGGAGGTCATTAACATGAACGTACACAACTGTAAACATGATGAAGCCACATAGGAAGAGAATATCGTAGAAAATATATGAACACATAATCCCCATCATATGAACATCAAGTCAATCACTTACACAAATTGACATATATAAACACCAGGTGCAAATACTTACACAAATATAAAGATTTTGGATCAAGCTTCAAAAATGACATTTGTGTTCATATGACCCAAAATTTCGTTCATGAAGTGTTATATATACTTAAATGAGAGTAATAACATGAACACAATGGTTCATGATTCATAAAAGTTAGTTATATGAACATATGAAAATGGGTCGTGCATGGAATTTCATTTGAACATGTGAATTAAGTACGTATTAATAATTAAAGAAAAAACTACCAACACAATATGAACTACAAAAAACAAAACGCATTATAATGAACATAATTTCGATTGAAACAAGTACAATAAAATATTAATCCATTACTAAGACATTCGCTTTGGTTATTTTCTTCACTTCCCGAACTCGAACTCCGATTGTCACCATAAACCATTTTAATCTTCTCAATGTTGTTGAGTTATTTTCAAATGCGTTTATCCATAATAGCTTGAAGGATACCGAAGATTTTACTACCGTGTTTCCTCAACGAATCACAAACTCATAAAACAATAAAAATGGAAGATCAATAATAAAAACATGAATATTAAAAATGCACATTTTTAGGGATTTTATGATTTTATAACTTACAATTAATGATATGGAGTTACATAAAAAATGAAATTACTCAACTACCTTTGACATTAAATTGTAAGCAAAAAAACCCTAATAGAAACATGGATTATGATTGGTTAAAATGGTTTGTAAATTTAACACAAAAACTTTGATTAACATTTGATATTACCGCATCTCTCTCTCTCTTTATATATATATATATATATATATATATATATATATATAGAGGAGCGATCAAATGAAAACCATTCCAATTTGTAAAAACTACTCTCATCAATCATTAATCTTATGAAAATTTTTCATGAAATTGTTAATCTTGTAAAATTGTTTCATATACTACTTAATGAAATTTTAATGAAATTGTTTCATGTATTTCTTTAAAATTAAAATAATGAAGATGATAATATCCATGATTAACACCCTACACAATAAAAATGGTTAATCAACCTCTCATAATTATAAAAAAATAAACAAAATGAAAAATTATGATTAATTGAATGAGGTTTTCACGATTTTTACAAATTGAATGATTTTTATTTGAATCCACCATATATATATATATATATGTGTGTGTGTAAGGTACATTCAATGATAACAATAACAATTAGAAATAAAAACATAAATTGCAAGCTTTAGTGGGATCGGGTGTCTTAAGTTGGTGAATAGGTGACTTAGTGGAGGATTAGGTGTCGCTATATTGGACATTATGTGGAGAATGCATAATTTATGTTAACCAAAAGCATGGACATCTTTTTCCATAGTCATTATGAGACCTCTTATCCATTGATCTAAAAGTATAAATAGCATAATTTCCTTTCATAATTCATCCTTCAAACAAAACTCAATAAAATTTCTCTTAAAAACACATATATAAGCTGTAACGAAAGAGGAAGCAAGAGGAAAGGGTGTTGAAGCACAAGTTTAGCTTCTAGATAGCCATATAACCCAAGGTGATTACATGTTTTTGTTTACGATCGTGATACACAGTATGTATTTAACCACAAATTATGATTATGAATCATGTTTAGGGTTTATAACCTGAATCTCACATTACATGTTTTTATGCAAAAAAAAAAACTTGCAAATCATGATCTCATTGAAAACATGTTTGCATAATCATAACATAAACTTTAATGTGTCTTCCAAAATAGAAAATTTAAGGCAAACATATCAAGATTTTGAGGATGAAAACTTGTTTATGTTGTGAAAAATTTCATAGATACATATTCTTAAGAACATATCCAATTGTTTCTTTGAAATAAGTGTTTTGCTCTAAGGGATTTGTCAGTAAATTTCTCTAAAATGGAAAAAGTTAGAGAAAGTATGTAAAATCCTCGAGAAATAATTATCTTGATGGATAGTTTTTTATTACATTGTCATTGACAAAAGACTTCAACATAAAATATTTTAATAATATAATTATTGTATCCTCTAAACTAAAAAATAGTATCCAAACTAATTTTTCAGAGTAAATTATGGATTTGGTTTTTGTGGTTTATACTTTCTCTCCATAGTGGTTCCAAAATCAAAATAAATACAACGATGGTATCACTAGTTTGTTTTTCACACCTATTTCAGTCCCTCCCTCTGTAACTAGGTTTGTATTGGGACTTGATTCAGACTTGAGTTTATTTTAGGATTTACTTTGATTTAGATTTTTGAGTTTAATTTGTATTTTGAAACAGATTTTAAGTTTGATTTAGAATCGGTATCACCAAAAAGGTGTTGTTGGAATGGGGAGGGAGACGGAGATGCGCTGCTAAATTAAGGAGGGAGACGACAAGAAGCTTCGTGTTGCTCATCGGTAAAGATGGAACTGACACTGGTACGATCGGGAGACGAAACTACCAATGGTTCCAGATCGTTCCTGTGGTTCCTTCCTCTTCCCTTTGATTGTCCATGTAGTTCCAGATCAAAAACAATAAGAACTACTAGAAACTTGGGAAAAAGAAACAAGGGGAGGTGTTATTTTGATTGGGAAAATGATTATGCGAGGGCCTGGGGAAAACGAAGGGCTATGGCGATGAGGTTCTCCAGCAAAGACCACGGTAGTAAAGACCAGTGATATAGGTTCTTCGGTTGAAGACCACAATGGGGACCATTTTCTCTTTTTGTGTGTGTAAATATACACACATGTATTTATAACTTACTAGAAGCGTACTCGCGCAATGCAGCGAGATACATCGTGATTTTAATATTTCATTTTATTCTTTATCTCAGCTGATGTTATAATATGGTTTTATGTGGTTTTAAGAAAGCGATGATGTTTTATTTTTGAATAAAATATATGTTTGAAGATATTAAAAAATTTGACAAAAATATATCGATATTAGTATCAAATTAACTATTTGAAATTCCTCATTTTTGTGTAMTTTTTTAATTCAATTTTTTATAATTTAATTTATGTACAATAACRAAGTAATTTATATTTGGTTTAATAATCTAATTTTTTTATAAATATAATAATTATTTATTTTGTTGGAACTCGATAATTATTCTAATTATATATTAGATTTTTTATATTTTAAAAATGAGATGTTCATTCTCTATTTGATTATGTTTATCCACAGTTATTAATACGAATTCAAACATCGAGCTTTAATAAGTTGTACTTATGCATAATTACTTRTAATCTTGAATTTTAAGTAATATGCATCAATATACAGTA